AAGTGTACTTATATATACTCATACTATCACTTATCACAGGTATCTCACTTATCGAAGTGATAAAAAGTGGTAATCTTATGCTGAGAAGTCCGCTGAATCGATAGATGGAGCAAAATTTCGCACTAGAATACTTTTTCACTCTTCAGTAGTAGTTGTACGAGGAGTATTCTGACGTTGTTCAACATAGGATTGCTTGTTATCGATTCATGGACGTCAGCTCAAGACGTTGCGGTCGTTGTTCTACACTGTCGATTCTTTGCTCTTCTTTGTGATGCTTTTTTCAAAACAATAGTGAAATCGTAGTGAACGATTTCGTCTAGTGGCCACTAACCAGTCAATGTGATCCTTCTTTGAATTGAAATTTGATCTCCGGAGCGTTTCGAGACTCCATGTTTGTCCGATCATCGCGAAAAACATCTGTCCTCATAAGCAACCCATCTCGGTCAAATTTTACAATGAGCTAAAGAAGAGAACTTAAGGTGCTCAAAAGAAGCATCGAGAAGGACTATAAGGACTCTCTCATCGACTTCTGCCCTATTGATGCTGCAAGCATTCATCGGTTACTAATTTCCAAATTCGGTTTAGAATTCCCAAAAATGTTCTACTTTCATCTAGCCCCTTGACAAAGCCACTACTTGAATTTCTTTTAGTTCACTTCTCAAAAGAATTAGTGATGACAGTGATTTATCCTCAGACCTCTTCAAAAGTGTTACCTTCATCAAAAGATGTTTCAATTTAAGCTGGTTCACTTTGCTACTAGCGCACCAGCTAGCTGTCCCAAACAAGTCTCTTACCAGTTTGGTGCGGTTTTGGGCGACAGCATCCTATCGGATGTTCCACAACTAGCGCTGTAAAAAATGCAACTTTGATATTTTTCAAAGATATCTGTAGTTTAGAATCCACGGTGCTGAACAAGCTATAAGCCTCATCAATATTACTTCCTATACGCGTCGTGCTCCAATAGTAAAATATGGTACTCGGCAACGTGTGGAAATGACGAGAAGGCCTAAATCCTACACTGACCTCTTGAAATTTGTTTATTAGAATCAGAAATTTAACACCGATTTAGGTCGACCGTAACCTTTTAGACTTAATTTATCAAGTTAAAATGTATGAAATGTTCAGTTCTTCCACAAGGACGTTTAAGCGTCATTTTCTCAGTTAACAAAATCTTTAACATATGCTGTTATCTGCGGTTTATCTACCTTCGTCAACATTGGACTTTCTCTCAACTCTTTTTTTTCAATACAAATAGTCGTCGCATCGTTGTTCTGTTGTGCGAATGAAGAACTCGATGGAATGGTGCGGTAAATTCATTGAAGTCATCTACTTATTAAAAGAGTATGCAAACAACTGAGGGTTCGTGAAGAACGGATATGTTTCTATGTATTCTTTCTTTGATGAGCTTACACGAGGTTGATAATTATATTTATTTTCGGCTAACGTTTCGACGTCTTCGCCTTCCTCAGAGCCGATGATCCGAGTCGATGGACCACGCTTGTTATTCGTCTCGATGTGGCAGCTTCGCCTTCGTGTAACAAAGCGCAGTAACATTTCGAAACCGACTTTCCTTGAACCTCGGTATCACTAGTCAATATGTATTCTTTCTTTGATGAGCTTACACGAGGTTGATAATGATGTTTATGGATAATGATGATAATGATTATAATGATTTATGTTTATGGTTAATGGATATGTTTCTGTTACCTCATACGGTCAACAGAGCGTAATGTCTCTGAGCTCTATAGCGACGCATATGTGGTTCGAAGTGTTAGCAAGATGAACGAGTCTGTCCAGAACTGATTAGGAACAAACAGTTAGCTTGGAGAGTAATCGCAGTGAAGAGGGAGAACATTTACATCTTCGAAACAGGCGCTTCATAAGAAAGAGAATCTGAAATCTTGAACTGATCAGGCATCAGGTCCAGTCCGAGTACGCGAGGATGTCGAGAGTCAGGTGGGATGTCTGCCAACTGAGTCCTCATCAAATGGACTGTCACGCAGGGAATGTTTCTTTCTTTTTCTCTTTTTAGAAACAATCTGTTGACTGAGAGCTGTTTCTGATCGTTTAACTTACTCTTTATTTGATAATGCACTGACTAATTCCACCGACGTGAACTATTTCTAACAATAATTGTCGATAGAGACAACCTTAAAATTCGTATAAGTCAACATTATTCTAGTCAGTAAAAAGTTTAACATCCAAGAAAACTGTCGCTATAATCACCAAATGAACATCACACTAAGTTCTCTTACAACTGGGATAGATCACTATTGGACGAGAAGTTTTTCACGTATTTACTATGCAGTGACCGTGGAATAATCGGTGCGGAATCAGTTCGTCTTGTGTGCACCAACGACTCGATTTGTGGCATTGTCAGTGCGTTTTCTGATCCGCGATCGCCGGAAGATGAGCGTTGTTCGACACCGGCCTGTAATGCAATCCTTATCCGTTCACTCATTATCCTTTTGATTAAGGAGCTGATAGCGCAGTGATAGCGATCCCATTCACTATGCAGACACACCAACCCACCCAGGCATTGGTTCCACCTCGCTCTGGCCTCACCAAGCTTCTTATCCCTCTAGAGCCTAGAAATTGCTGCCAGTATTGTCTGGGTCAAACTCGCTCACTATAACCTTTGTTAGAATACCCTAGAATGGCCAGTTCAGGATTCCAAGGCGAATCGATTAGACCAATATTCATCGAGATTCATGACCAAGACCAAAGGATTCTCAAGCAGTAACCAAACCCATACACAAGAGAAAGTTCGAAGACGTTCGAAGATAGTGGATGCGAGGAAAGAAATCGAATGCGCGACGTTCTGGGATCCGAATAGTGTAATATGCATAATGTCGGCTCATGTAATAAACTCTACTGATTTGTCGGCATATTCGCGCCTGATTTTTTGCAGATGAAAAAAAACTGGGTGGCCGAGTCAGGTCTTACGTTCATGAAAGCGATGCTAAATAAATACAAGCGATTCTTTAGGACATACCTCACCTCTGAAGCAGTGGGCAGAGTATGGAATACGGGTTCCGTGGCACGGTGCTGGAAACGGCCCCGCATCTTCACGAGCAATTCGCTGCCACTAACTCTAGAGTGACAAATGTGAAAAATTGTTCTGAATAACTAAAGACTCAAAGTCACTCGAAATACTAGGGAGCATGCTAGAATGTGGCCATAGAATCAAATTTTAGAATCACTGGCTTCGCGTACTTTTTCTCAACCGCTTTCTTCTTATTATCCTCGCTTTTTGTGGAAGTGATGTGATTGTTAGATCCACTGAAAAAGTTACAAATTTACCAACTGAACGTTTTTGTTCGGCGTTCAAGAGGATAACCATGAATTAAAAGTAAACATAAAATAAAAAAGGATAGAGCTCTCGGCGTTGATGAATCCCTGAGGGGTGCGCCATGCATTCGACTTCATTGAGTATCGTTGGAGGTGATTGAATGCATATCTGGCCTTTATGCGGTGACCTACCGATGTATCGAGCCAATGCTGCTATCCTCCCAGACAAGTCTGGCACCAATCTGCCGACCCCGGAGGGATGGAAAGCTTAGTGGGCCATGGGCGCTTGAATCGATTCCAGTTATCTGTTGCAGTGGCGCCTCCAACCACTGCGCCGTACGCGCCACAAGGACAAACATAGAACATCAAAGATGCAGAGACATTTGCAAAACTCCGGACCACAGGTGTCTCCGGTGGGGAACGAACGCGCTATCGTCCTTTCCGGGGAGTAACGCGTTCACCACCACACTATGTGGGTCCTTTGTTTCGCCTGTCTCCCAGCTAGTTTTATCGATCATGGGCTCCCCAGTTCAATCTCGCAGACGGATGATTGCTGATGGCAGAGATCGATGGAACTAGCTGAGAGACAGGCGGAACAAAGGACCCGCATGGTATGGTGGTGAACGCGTTACTCCCCGGAAAGGGCGATAGCGCGTTCGTTCCCCTCCGCAGACACCTGTGGTCGAGAGTTTTGCAAATGTCTCTGCATCTTTGATGTTGTTGATGTTCAGCATCATTGAAGTTATATTTCAAAATATACCTTGCCATTAAAAAGAGTAGTCAGTAAGTAAAACGGTTAAGATTGTGATTAAAACGTAGAATGAATAATTACTTAATATAGCCTGAAAATTATAATATCATAAATAAAGTGTTCTTCTGTTGGTCTTTCCACCTTCTGATTTCCTCCAGCCTACGAAACTAAGTCTCCTTAAGCGCTTTTTTTCACATCGAAGTTCATTTTGTCAAGTAGGACAGGATTATGTACTTATGTACTCAATGTGAACGTGTCCTTGGTGCTGTGCTCTCCCCACCCTATAAAAATTAGAATTTCCTCAATTCTTCAATGTTTTAATCCTATCCACGTTAAGAATTTATGTAATAGAAAATGAAAGTCGTAAATGTTCAATTAGTGCTATAGAGTAAAGTCTCTTCTATGAATCTGTGACGTTTCTAACTGTTACAATGCTCTGGTGAACGAGAACACATGTCGTTAGTGGTGAAGTAGTCAACGTTGGGCGCTGGTGATATTGTAGATGGAACTAATCGATAATTAGTAAATTCACTGATTGGTTTGTAGTAGACAACTGATATTGAAGACAAACTTACGTTGCACTTGAAGCGTTGCTTTGCCCACCTTTCTTAGCCTCATCAATCGATTCCGCCTTAAAATCGATTTCCAATCCAACAATTAAAAATTCGATCAATTTAGTAGTTGGTCGGGTGCGAATTAAAAAGTGACGTTTTCCAACAATTTTAGAATCTTCACTTTATTTTATTTTTTATTTTTTTTTCAAAGTTACTAAATCAACCATACAATTACTGCAAGGATATTATTTACCACTTTTAGAGTTTTGATAAACTCAGTAGCGCTCAGTTTTTCCTCCATATCGTCACAGTTCGTTATGTATTCGCTCAAACTCATGTTGACGATTGAGGTGATGAGCTATGTGTGTGTGTAGGTCCAACGAGAAATACCACTGTAGCAGTTCTGAAACAAAGGCATTCCATGTTTCATATGTATTGGAATTAGAAGTATTAAAGTCGACGACATCACAGTCAACAATCATCGTAAGAGAAATTCCAGCAAACAGCTTTCTGCAGCATTTTAGAGAGCACGATATGGCTAGGAAAAGCAGAAAGTACGCTTGTCATAGAACGCTGGAAAGTTCAGAACATAGTCACAGTTTTGTCCTCTTATTCTTTAGTACACTCGTGAAATTGGACGCTAACAGCGAGTTTATTTGTAAAAGATTTCCTATCGGTTGCATCTTACACAATAGCGGACGACAAGTGGTGAAGAACTCAGAACGCTTCATCGAGCTACATCGAAATTCCAGGAAGGGTCATGCTTAACCAGCAATTAACGACATTTACGAAGAGTGAAAAATTCCTAAATTTAAGAGAACACACACACGCACGCGCGCACGCAAATCAAAAGACTTCCACTGATGGCAGATGCAAGACAACGAGCCAAATGAAAGAGCTATTTGGGTCTACACAATATAAGACGAATCATTGAAATCAAAAAGTTTTTACTCAAGCCGTGGATACATCTCAGTGACAGTTCTCGACTTAAGCATTTCGACAATTACTACCTGAGAAAATCTTCTATGAGCAATCCAGTGCTAAAACTTTTAAAGAATTTGCCATTTCAAGAAGCTTAGGATTTTATTTTAACGAAATAAATGTTTTAATTTAGCTGTAGTGCTTCAGCATTCAAAATTCACAGGAACAAACCGCAATTTCCTCTTCACCGAATATGCGTTCTGTAAGAAACGTACTGCAGCTAAATCCTTCCAGAGGCAACTAGATGGAAAAGATTTGCACTCGCCATCGAAATTTTTGTCTACTCTGGGATATTACGGAATAGTGCTTATGTATGTATCCGTTTCCCACTGAAAATCAGCAGAAGTTTCGCTTACCAAAAAACAGTAACGATTCATAATCCTGTTCTCTCGATTCCGAAAGAGCTGCGAAACGTTGGTGCTCTTTAGTACAAATACGAATAGGCCGCTAAAGCCTTCAGGTTATTTTAGATTACCTAAATTTAACGACACAGCGATGGCGTTCACTATTGACAACGTATCAAGGCTATTTTGCGCATACACTTTAGAAGAAGATGCAGCTTAGTCTTCTCACGGTTTTCCATTTCGCTAACGTGTCCAATTCCTTCCTAAGGCTTTGCATTCTGTGCTCACATTTACTCGGCCTTCAACATGGTTTCAGAGTTCAAGTTTTTATTTGACTTATCTAGTACTTTTAAGGAGACTTTCCGTTCGTTTTCTGTACTCGTTCTTCTCATTGATGCGTCTACTGTGAACCATCTCGCTACGTATTTCTTTTTGCTCATTGCAAAAGCTTATTGTTACAGATACGTACCATGGACATCTTCATGTTTTTGTTGTACTTCGATAATGGCTAAAAGCTCAAATCGGTAGTCGTAGTTAGTCGGAAGTACAGATTCGTGAAATACTCCATAAGACGTTCACTGCTCGCTTCTTTTGAGAACACAGAAATTGATGGATAAGAGGCTATACGGAAAGTTTTGGAAATATTTTTTCTATTGAGGCTCCAGTTTTCACATTGTTTTTCACATTTTCCAGCATCTTATTTAGCTTCAAAAGCTTGGACGTGAATTCGTTGCTCTCTATCGAGCAGATCAAGTGTTTTCTGTGTTTCCTTCGACTCCTTTTCGGATATCTTCAATAGATGCGTTGTGGTAGTTGAGATGGTTTTCCTATTCACTGTGGTTTTCCGGCACAACTTCAACGCCATTACAACACAGCTATCCTTTCCAAGGAAATGTGCAATTGCTTAGTGACTGACTACAGCATTAAAACACAGGAAATCAATATGCATTCTTTCTTGATAAGCTTGCACGAGGTTGATAAATATATTTATTTTCGGCTAACGTTTCGACGTCTTCGTCTTCCTCAGAGCCGATGATCCGAGTCGATGGTCATGGACGGTTTCGAAATATTACTACGTTTTGTGCTAGCTGATAAAACACCGACTTCTGCACGATGTCCGCAATGATGTATGTCCGGAAGAAATACAGGTTGTTACCACCGGACATTATCATTATATATCCACCATCAGCATCGTGTATAAAAGGACTTCACTGAGTGAGGTTGCCTCATTCGAGAAGATGGATCACTGAGGAAGACCTGGCTCGACACGAAGGCGAAGCTGCAACGTCGAGCCGAACAACAATCATGGACCATCGACTCGGATCATCGGCTCTGAGGAAGACGGAGACGTCGAGACGTTAGCCGAAAATAAATATATTTATCAACCTCGTGCAAGCTTATCAAGAAAGAATGCATATTGATGAGTCACACCGAGGTTCAGGGAAAGTCGGTTTCGAAATATTACACAGGAAATCACTTGCATTGAAATACGTACACACCTCATGGACAATTCACGGAGGTTTTCTACTGCACATTTTGTATCTTGCAAATAGCTTATCTGACATAGACGTCGTGTCAGGCATGGTTGATGAAATCCTATTCTCTGTGCCTAAGAAATTACAAAAACCTTCCTACGGAGAAGCTCATTTTGTGGAGACTTGTTGAAAGTTTTTTTTAGAGTGGATTACCGTGCTCACATACTTTGCAATCATCAATGAGAATCCGTGCGGCTTGCCTTCTGAAACATCGGGTTTTGTCACATTTTTATTTCATATTGAGCAGGTAGTGAGCCTGCTCAGCACGCGGACTGCTCAGCCTAACCAGGCGCTCGATTGAACCCACCTCGAGCCCAGCAAGCCTACATACCTCCGGAATTAGGAAATTAGTGCCAGACTTGTCTAGGTTCAGCTCACTCTCTGTATTCTACTTGGGGTCGTTCTAGCACGACTGTCCTAAGACTCGATAGAGAATGGATTCGACCAGCATTTAACGAAATTTGTGACGAAGACGAAAAATCCTCAAGCAGCAGCTTATCCCTGATGCAGAAAAATCCGAAGACCACCTCGGATGGTGGATACGGTGGAAAGCATTATTGAACGCAAGAAATTCTGGGAACCGCTTAGTGCGATGAATGTGATGTTGGGTGTAAAAAGGAATGACAGTAATAATATTTTAATAAAATCGATGCTCGACAATTACACCATCATCGCTTTGCTGAAGACATTGTACTTATAACACCAAACATTAGCCAAGCGGAACGACTGCTTGCTGACTGTGACAAAGCCTGTGAAGAAATTGGTCTTCGTCGAAATCTTACAAAAACGATGTTCATTCATGAGGAAGGGAATGGTTAGGCATGAACCATTCATGCTCAAGGGAATGAATACCTCAGAATACTCCAGTTACATCTATCTAGGTCCGGAAATCAACGTGATGAACGAATTAGCTCAAGAGTTGAGCAGAAGAAAACGAGTGGCTTGAGCTTTCAAGAGCGTCGAAGATGTAGTGAAGACAACAAGGAACGCCCAACTTCATGTCTACCTTTTTGACTCAACGAAACTTCCTGCGTTAACGTAGGCGTCAGAAACCCGGTCGCTGCGTAAACAGGATGAAAAATCACAGCGTAACACCTCGCTTTTGCTCAACAAAAATACGAAGAAAAACACTTGATCAATGCCGAGGTTAATAGAAAGTCGGTCGTGGCAGTTGATGCTTGGAGTATCCCTTGTCACATAAGTAACGGAAGGGATCCGAGGCCTCGACCTGCATCAGCGATCAGAAAACGAAGATGCCGTTCTGTACGTCAAGTTGTCGAAGACAAGATGTGCCGGACACTTAATGCGTGTGAACGAGAACCGATGGAAAAGAAACCAAAGTGGTTAGATTCCTCGGGATACCCAAAGTGCTACAGGATGACCAACCGACCCGATGGTCAGAGTCTTTCGCGAAAACTTTAGAAGGAAGGTATGATGTTAGCTCTTTTGTTTACTGCCTTTTTTCTTCTTAATGGCAGGTTATGTTGCGAAATATAACTCGTATGAAATGCTGAGATATTTGCAAAACTCCGGACCACAGGTGTATGCAGTGGAGAACGAACACGCGCTGTTGTCCTTACCGGGGAGCAGCGCACTTCACCACTACACCATCCGGGTGCGCTGCTCCCCGGTAAGGACAACAGCGCGTGTTCGTTCTCCACTGCATACACCTGTAGTCCGGAGTTTTGCAAATAT